GCTCGTAGCCGCTAATGTGTTTTCTTCTGTTGTTTAAAGGAAAAACAGCTGTGCAAGAGGAAGAATCGAAATGGCAGCATCACAATAACGAGGAGAAAGAAGACGAAGAAGGAAGAAGATGACAAGAAGAGAGAAAGAAGAAGAAGAAGAAGAAGAAGAAGAAGAAAGAAGAAAGAAGAAAGAAAGAAAGAAAGAAAGAAAGAAAGAAAAGAAAGAAAAGAAGAAAAGAAAAGAAAGAAAGAAAGAAAGAAGAAAGAAAAAGAAAAAGAAAGAAAGAAAGAAAGAAAGAAAAGAAAGAAAGAAAGAAAGAAAGAAAGAAAGAAAGAAAGGAGAAAGAAAGAAAAAAAGAAAGAAAGAAGAAAGAAAAGAAAAGAAGAAAGAAAAGAAAGAAAGAAAGAAAGAAAGAAAGAAGAAAGAAAGAAAGAAAGAAAGAAAGAAAAAAGAAAGAAAGAAAGAAAAGAAAGAAAGAAAGAAAGAAAAGAAAGAAAGAAAAGAGAAGAAAGAAAGAAAAGAAAGAAAGAAAGAAAGAAAGAAAGAAAGAAGAAAGAAGAAAAGAAAGAAAGAAAGAAAGAAAGAAAAGAAAGAAAGAAAGAAAGAAAAGAAAGAAAGAAAGAAAGAGAAAAAGAAAGAAAAAAAAGAAAGAAAGAAAGAAAGAAAGAAAGAAAGAAAGAAAGAAAGAAAAGAAAGCAAAAGAAAGAAAAGAAATGAAAGAAAAGAAATGAAGAAAGAAAGAAAGAAAGATAAGAAAGAAAGAAAGAAAGAAAGAAAGAAAGAAAGAAAAGAAAGAAAAAGATAAGAAAGAAAGAAAGAAAGAAAGAAATTTAAAGAAAGAAGAAAGAAAGAAAGGAAAGAAAGAAGAAAAGAAAGAAAGAAAGAAAGAAAGAAGGAAGAAAGAAAGAAAGAAAGAAAGAAAGAAAAGAAAGAAAGAAAGAAAAAGAAAGAAAACAAAAGAAAGAAGAGAGAAGAAAGAAAGAAAAAAGAAAGAAAGAAAGAAAGGAAGAAAGGAAAAAGAAAGAAAGAAAGAAAGAAAGAAAGAAAGAAAGAAAAAAGAAAGAAAGAAAGAAAGAAAGAAAGAAGAAAGAAGAAGAAAGAAAGAAGAAAGAAGAGAAAGAAAGAAAGATAAGAAAGAAAGGAAGAAAGAAAGAAAGGAAGAAAGAAAGAAAGAAAGAAAAGGAAGAAAGAAAAGGAAAGAAAGAAAGGAAGAAAAGAAAGAAAGAAAGAAAGAAAGGAAGAAAGAAAGAAAAGGAAGAAAGAAAGAAAGAAAGAAAGAAAGGAAGAAAGAAATAAAGGAAAAGAAAGAAAGAAAGAAAGAAAGAAAGAAAGAAAGAAAGAAAGAAAAGAAAGAAAAGAAAGAAAGAAAGAAAGAAAGAAAGAAAGAAAGAAAGATCAAGGAAAGAAGAAAGAAAGAAAGAAAGAAAAGAAAGAAAAGAGAAAGAAAAGAAAGAAGAAAGAAAGAAGAAAAGAAAGAAAAGAAAGAAAAAGAAAGAAAGAAAGAAAGACAAAGAAAGATAAGAAGAAAGAAAGAAAGAGAAAGAAAGAAAGAAAGAAAGAAAGAAAGAAAGAAAGAAAAGAAAGAAAGAAAGAAACTTCCAAAAGAAAGAAAGAAGGGAAGGAAGAAAGGAAGAAAAGAAAGAAAGGAAGAAAGAAAGAAAGAAAGAAAGAAAGAAAGGAAAGAAAAGAAAGAAAGAAAGAAAGAAAGAAAGAAGAAAAGAAAGAAAGAAGAAAGAAAGAAAAAGAAAGAAAGAAAGAAAGATGAAGAAAGAAAGAAAGAAAGAAAGAAGAAAGAAAGAAAGAAAGAAAGAAAGAAAGAAAGAAAGAAAGAAAGAAAGAAAGAAAGAAAGAAAGAAAGAAAGAAAGAAAGAAAGAAAGAAAGAAAGAAAGAAAGAAAGAAAGGAAGAAAGAAAGAAAGAAGCAGACACACAAACAAAGGCGTTAACAACCAGACAATTAACAAACATAATCTCACCCAAAGACAGTGACCCAAGTTTCATCTAGAACATCGCTGGAATACAAGTCTCTGAAAGGCAAGAACAACAACAACGTCTGTAGAGCAATCAATCACACGATCTCAAACAACGGTAGACATACACTTCTCGACAATTCCAAGCCTTGCAGATTCACTGCTGAAGATACCACCTGCCTCTCTTTCCACTTAGTGACTCAAAGTGTTTTTAAGTATTCTTCTTCTGCCTCTCTAACCCCCAGTGGAGCATAGGCCCTTAACCAACTCATGACATGTCGTTCTATCCTTCGCTATCGCCTGCAGCTCTCCCCATGTCCTTCCCATCTTTTTAACTTCACTCTCCAACTCTCGTCTCCATGAGGTTTTGGCCATGCTTTATTTTTATCACCCCCCTCCCCACCCCAGTGTTCCAGTACAAAGACATTCTAGTTTTACTGTTCTCCGGTTTTCTTACCGTATCTTCTATCCAATGACAGCGTCTTTTCTTCACCTCTTTGTCCACGGACAGAAGCTCTGGTTGTTGGTCCACTTCTGGACTAAGGTCTTCTTCTAGTGTTGCGTACTTATCTGTTTTATAGATGTGGAATATTTGTAAGCAGACTGTTGGTTTCTTCTAGAAGTCCTCTCTTGTATTTATTTACGCACTTTAAATTATTTCAGATGCCCGGCTTGCTAGCGTAGTTGGTTAAACCTGACTTAGCGGCGACGGGTGACGAACTCCTTGTGGTTCGGGTTCACGCCCGGGGGTAGGCAGAAAAGCCACATTTCTCCCAGATTTAAGGTATCTATCATGGAATCAAGGCCCGAAGTGTTGCGATATCCCTAGTTCCGAGCCTAAGGGTTAACAACTCATAGTTTCTGGATACTTAAAAAAAATTATTTCAGAAGTACTATTTTATTTGTTTGCATTTAGCATTTTTAAAACTATTATTAGCATAATTTTTTGGCGCATTTAAACAAGGCTTAGAACCCCTGTGGTTTTTCCTACTTCACCCCTAGAAGATTACAATGGGGCTGAATCCCGCTCCCATCCCCCACCTACCTAGTGTTTTCTAAAGTCAGCGTATTATAATGGCGTTGAAGAACTCCTGTCTCACAAATCATTGCCAGAACACTGGACAGAAAGAAAGCTCCAGACAGGCGCGATCGCCAACGCCATGATGTAAGTACTATCAGAAGAAGACACACATATGCATAAACAAGAGCAAACGACCGCGTTCAACGTTCAAATCTAACGGCAGACATCATCAGCACACGTGCTGTAACAATATGTTCCACAGTCCATTCCAAATGTCGTGCCCTCAAACTTAAACAAATATCTCTATACGGATCAACACGAATTTGTGCATGTCGTCTTAGATTAGTCGGCTCTGTGGCTAAGTCGATGCGAACGCTTCGAAATGCCCGGGTGCCGGGTTCGATCCCAGCTGCGGGCCATGCGCCTTGCGTTGGTTTCGACAGTGGTATCAGGGGGCTGACCGTCCAGTGAGAAATGGCAAACTGCTGGACGTAAATTTGCCTAGAGAAACCACACAACAGCCAGGGTCTGCTGGGGTTGGTTCTGCAACGTCCTGTTAAGAATACGCAACTAACCGTCTTAGATTCCCCTTTCCTTACAACTTCTTTGACAGCTAGGTGTTAGTTCATATTATAATTAATTTCCTACAAGGATATGATTATTAACGGGTTGCATGCAAAATCTCAACAATTTACACAGAACGCATACGTAGTTACAGGTGTTTAAAGTTAGCCAGGACTTTTGGAACAGACTATAGCTGGAATTCACACTTGTATTTCATCATCATCGAGTGCCTTGCCGACTGGCGTAGGTAACCATGCCTCTCCACAATCTGCGAGCTTCAACAGCTTGATTAAATTCATAGGCTGAAACACTTTCATTCCATTTTTTTTTTAAAGTTGTAAAGAATCTTCTCGTCTTCTCTTCCTGTTTCTACGAAAAAAAAAAATGTCTCCAGAACTCACATGTTCCATTTTCCTTCACACTATGACCCGAATAATAATAATAATGTTAGTCATCTTCGAGCGCCCGCCTCTTTCAAAAGATTTGAGCTGCTCTTTTTAGCTGTCCAAGGAATTCTAAGGATGATTTTGTGAAACCACTCTCCGTATTTACCGCTTTTTTATTCTGTGTAGATGGGGAGGGGGGGGGGGAGTGGGTTTGTACGTTAGCCTAGGGATAGAGGGTCGCTGAAATGTGTTGTCGCCACGAACTGTACAATAAAGTCACTGACTTTTCCTGTGCCTTCAGGCATACCGGGCATTTAGTGCGAGATCTAAGTTGTATAGACCAATTGATACTCAGTAGCCAATGTGGTCAACATCACGCTAGTCGTCTTTGCCTCTCATGAGTTTACCGGGAACTTATTTAAGGCTAGAAATCCAGCTTCGTTCGGATTTGAAACGGTGACCTTTAGATCCGCAGGCCAGCTTCTAACTTCTACAGCACGCCGGCCCCCTAAGCAACTGTGCAGGTTAGGATTTTTATTCTCTACCACCCCTCCCCCTTTCGCGATAGACAAGCGGGGGTCCATCACTTTACCGAGAGTCGAACCCGGGTCTCCCTTGTGGTAGCCGTACATTCTAACCGCTCCGGTAGCCGCTCCTACCCTCATCAACAATAGATGCACTCATTAACTAACCCTTTTGTGTGAAATGGATCCGGCTGAGACGGTCCTGGCGTTTGAAATGGTCCTGGAGTTTGAAATGGGCCCGTCTGAGACTTGGAGACTGACTCCCGCTGTCTTTGGTTTAACATCTCTAGGCTTGTGCTTCCCTGTGACCCTACGCTGGTACGCAGCAATCCTGGCGTAATAATCACTTCAAATCATTAAAGGCAGGTCGATTCTTTTCAAATTTACATTGCCTAACATGATGGCTATTCAAAACTACTATAAAGTACAGTGTAATGAAATATAAGCAGAAAGGGGTTAAATGAACAAAGCATACATTTCAGACCACCACACGGCGTACTAATCCATCACTGTGTGAAATGACAGAAATGGGTGATTAGAAAGCCATGGCCTAGCCAGCTATACAGAACATCTACACGATAACCGCCATGACATCTGACAGTGAGGGATGAAACATTCGACGAGTGCCCGTGAGCAAGCACAGGCACTGTGACCAGCTGAAGAGATACGTTCATCCAAACGTGACCACCAAAGACAGGTGACAGGGGAGTGATTGAGAAGGCACGCCAGAAAGAGAGGGAAAGCGGGGGAATAAAGTCAGAGCCAGGGGCTTGAGAAGAGGGAGGACGGAACCGCTTGAGAGGACAGTTAGGGCTGGACCGCTGGATAGACCGGTTAGGAGAAAACTAGTGCTGTAGTTCGTTTAGAAGGTATATGTTAAACTTGGAGTTTAGCTAGAACAGTGGTTAAGGAACTCGTAGAGAGTCATACGAATAGCCAGTAACAAGATAAAGAAGTGTTCATATACTATTGCTTATTGAATTTATGAAGTCTGTGTGACGAGAATATTGTTAAAAAACGAGCTTTTGTGTAATTGTTACATCACTGGCCTTGTTCTTAAATACGATTGAAGAGAGCTACGAACTGTATTCATTCAACTTGGCCGAACTAGGCACATCTTTTTCTTGGGGGATGTATAGGCACGACTGTGCCACAAGTGTGTGGATATTTGGAGCCGTGACCAACGATCAGTCTTGTGTACTCGACATCTTTAAAAAACAAGACTGCTGTTACAACATAACAAATAAGCAACTGCTAAAAAAGGTGAACTTAAAGCAAGTTTATGATTGTACCTGCTGAGTAAGAAAAGTCGAAAAAAATCGTCATCAGAATAGAGAGACGTGAACCAGACCAACAGCCTGCACCTACTTCAACGACGCAATCCGGATAAGATGATATCCTATTTGAGGTTACAACACGAACCGTCTACACTAGAATCAGGGAGACGAGCCCGTTTTAGCCTGGAGCCAACCGTCTACACTAGAATCAGGGGGACGCGCCCGTTCTAGCCTGGAGCCAACCGTCTACACTAGAATCAGGGGGACGCGCCCGTTCTAGCCTGGAGCCAACTGTCTACACTAGAATCAGGGGGACGCGCCCGTTCTAGACTGGAGCCATAATATAAACTTTCCTAACTTTACACACTCGGAAGACTATAGGAAAGTCAAGAACTGTGAGCTGTCCAATTTTACAAATAGGAACGGCAAAATAAGTGCGATTTTAAAGAACCTTGAACATTAACATTAATTAGTTTAAATATATCGTGATTTTCAATTTACCGTGGTGTAGGAAAAACCTTTCTATCTTTCCCTACCTTTCTTCCTGAACGTAGAAAATAATTCCAGGACAGTGCCGATTTTTATTACAGTGTGTTGTGAAGCGAGATTTTTTTTCCGGACCGCACTTAACAAGGTAATTCGACATTTTCTGTTTTAAATTCTAAATTAGTTTACATTAGTTAATTTCACAGATTGTTTAAAATGGCAGAACAGGGAACAGTAGAAGCCCAGTTCAGCAGAGTTTTAGGAGAAGTCAGCAAGGCTGTCTCCAGATTAGATTGTAGCGTTCGGCGACAGGGAATAACAGTGGTTATTGAACCTTTCAGGGGAGACACAAAAAAGTTTAAAAAGTGGGTAAACGAGATAGAAAAGTATGCTTTCCTTTCAGGTGCGACAAGTTTCGACATCAAACGTTTAGCATACCAGATGAGTTCTTCCCCGGTTTCAGAACACATAAGAAGATTAGAGCAGAATGAAGAAGAAACCTGGGAAGAACTGAAAAGATACTTAGCACAAAATTTCAGCGACGTCACAGACAGACAGATGGCCTTTTCCCTCTGTAGTGAGTCATTTTCTTCCCATTAAGTTATGCCCGATAGATGTCAGTAATAAATGTAAGGCGAATGTTTGACTGACTGAGATAACACGAGATTCATGTCTTGAGTTTCATGAGAGACATCTGAAAGTCAGGTTTTATGTGAAACATGATTGTTCACGTGAAACCATGAAGGTTGACTGGCAGGATTCATGAAAATGTGAATTATCACGGGCTAGACACGACAATTCGTGAGAATGAAATTATCCAGAATATTCGAGAACAGGACAGATTAGAGGGCTATATAATAGCGAAGAAAAGGTTTGTGAGGCAGTATCGTTTAGGCCAAGGGAAAGGTGTACGTGTGGAAAGTTCGGAAGAATGTTGTCGTCTGAATAGCGTGATTTCCCAATGCCTACCTGGCATAAAATAGCGGCTGACGGAAACGGTGGCCAGCTGTGAATGACTGTCGTTCTGGATGGAGGGAGCTACTGTGTTTTCTATGAATTGTGTTTCTATTCTACGATGTTACAAAGGTATGATTGACTGTTTAGATCATTGATTAAGAGTGCTACGGTTGTACATGAACATTTACTGACTGCAACAACAGCGAGTGAAAATAAACAGTACGTGTAACTTCTGAACGTCTGCCAGCGTCCATGTTTTCTCGTTCTCGTCAGTTGGTGAATGGAAAGATGCGGTGACTCATTCGAGCCAGCAATTAATAACAATGAAGATCACTGCAGAATGGAGGCTCGTCCAAACATTTGAGGATAGGAAAGTTGTTTCGTACAGTAAAATCTGAGACATCGAAATGTGTTTAGTTATAAACCTGACGTCAGGTAGTACCAGTTCAATATACGAACGTAAGCGGGGAAGATCGATGGCGACATAACAACAACCCATATTCGATAGTTCACAGATTGAACAACGTTCGGACAAATTCCAGGCTTTGAATACTGATAGACAAGTCCACGTTTTAAGTTTCGACCAAGTAATCAACAATCAACTAAGATGCGAAGGAAAGATTGCAGACAGTGACAGTGTCAAAGAGCATTCATTAATTGTAGCAAAGGAATACAACCGTAAGTCTACACAGAGATGATGTGAGACTAGGGCTGCCCTCTGCAAAACTTCCGAAGCCTTGTTGTTTGATCAAATTTCGCTGCCGACTAAAGTGTGGTAAAGTGTAGTGGGAAATCTACACTGAACAACACAGAGAAGCGTCGACACCAGATCCTGTTTTTCGGATCTGTTTTTCAAAACATAGAAAGACAGTGAAACACCGGGTAGAGTGTTAACTGTACAGAAATCAAAAAGAACCACAGCTCTGACACTGGGTATTTGTGTCGCAGCTCTACATTTTCAGCCGTGGCAAACCATTTAATAGGAAAACTATAGTATGAGAAGCCTACAATACCTCAGGATCAGCACTCATTGATATCTCATGATCAACAATGCTTCAAGTTCATCGTATAATCGCACATATCACAAGAAAGCGATAACAATAAAGCTTTCCTACGTCCTAAACACATTCAGTCGACAGGAAAAGCATCAAATCGGTCGGTGCAAATCTAAGTACTATTGAAGTGTGTAGCTAGCAGTGAACTATTTGTCTACAATTAACAATGTACTATTGAAGTGTATAGCTAGCAGGGAACTATTTTAGTGTCTACAGTTAACAAGGTACTATTGAAGTGTGTAGCTAGCAGTTGAACTACTCAATGATAAATATCCAGTTTATGAAACCGATAGTACAGTGAACAGTACCACAAACAGTATACAGTTTCTGTAATAAATGCTTCACTGAACAATTCCTTAATTAGTGTGCATTCAATGCCGAAATTACTAGTGTGAGCAGATAAACTGTGCGGTCCTAATTGGTTTCAGTGCCCAGTTCATGAAATCATTACTATGGTGTGTTGATTTCCATTAACCATATCAAATTAATCATTTCTTCAGTATTTTAAAAGTAGCAGTAACATATTCAACAGACAAGCTTCAACGAAACAACCTTCAAGAAAGCAACAGCCATCGCAGAACCAGCTTCAGGTCAACGTCAGGACAGTCAACTAGATCAGCACAACAATATACATTGATTATTAATTTTATTTTTGATTTATTTTTGTGGTGATTCAGATATTTATTATAATTATCAATATTATTTATTTATAATTTACATTGGTGCAGTCATTGACATTTATTTTATTTATTTATAATTTACATTGGTGCATTCATTGACATTTATTTTATTTATTTATAATTTACATTGGTGCATTCATTGACATTTATTTTATTATATCGGTGCATTCATTGACATCTACTTTATTTATTATTATTGTTACATTGGTGTTTTTGATATTATTTTGTATTTTTCTACTATTCTTTACATTATTTCTTTTTATTTATAAATATTGGCAAATTGTATTGAAATTCTAGATTTTTTTTTTTTTCATTTTAAAAGTTGTAGGTGTTATATTACACGGAAGTTCAGTACCACCATCATCAGGAAGTGCCATAATTAATCATATACACATCATCATTATCAAGTGTCAAAGTTATTTCAATTTGAGTTTAACATTTGATCTAATCATTCACATTTGATCATCATCAAGTGTAATCACTATAACAAAAGTATAGTTGTGGGTAATAGAAATTGTATTGTATACCAAAAATAATAAGTCAATCATTGGTTGATTGGCGAAGGATCATTGTAATATTATTTGGTGATACACTAATTGATTCAACACTATATCTTTATTTAATCTGTGTTGAATAGTATTATTGTTGATTTCTAATATAGACTAAAGGTATTGGTGGATAAGAATTATTCAGTTAACAGTTTCTGCATATATATTGGAACTAAATGTGGCTTTAATGAAAGCGAATTTAATAAGCATCATACTGAAAAAGTGTATTTAGTAATTATTACGTGAAATAATTTAATTATTTGAGACTATTAGTGATTACTCTATCACAGTCGATTATCAAGACTAATTCAATCAAATATTTTATTTTTTTAGAATAGTATTTAATTATACCCAGACTGTGCGGCCATTAAAGTCTATGTTGACTTTCTCAGAGATTCTATTTTCATCCTTTATTGGGGAGATGACATTTTCGAGTTTTACTTTATTGATAACTGGGGATACATGGCATGTCATTTCTTGTTGTAAGTATATGTGTATATATATGAACTATTTTCAATGTATTACAATGTTTTCAGGTTTGAGTTTATAAAGTGGGAATACAGATACTATTCCTTTATACTTCAGACAACTCCGCACATTCATTAGGGATACCAGTGAATCAGAGGTTGTTATGCTAATACAACGAGTTAGTTGTATCGTCTTTTTTTTATGTCTTTAGAATTATTAACTATTAGTTATTGTATGAATGTCACGTTTTCCTTATACTGCATGAATTTTATGATGTTACATGTTATGTTGTATGCTTTCATTACGTGGCTAGATGTTCAAATAAGGTTTGGTTAGGTAGCGGGTATATTTAGAGTAGTTTTTAGTGATAAAATTGCAGATGGGAAACAATTTCGTTAAAAATGTGTGGGGCGAATGTAATGAAATATAGGCAGAAAGAGGTTTAATGAACTAAAGCATACATTTCAGACCACCACACGGCGTACTAATCCATCACTGTGTGAAATGACAGAAATGGGTGATTAGAAAGCCATGGCCTAGCCAGCTATACAGAACATCTACACGATAACCGCCATGACTTCTGACAGTGAGGGATGAAACATTCGACGAGTGCCCGTGAGCAAGCACAGGCACTGTGACCAGCTGAAGAGATACGTTCATCCAAACGTGACCACCAAAGACAGGTGACAGGGGAGTGATTGAGAAGGCACGCCAGAAAGAGCGGGAAAGCGGGGGAATAAAGTCAGAGCCAGGGGCTTGAGAAGAGGGAGGACGGAACCGCTTGAGAGGACAGTTAGGGCTGGACCGCTGGATAGACCGGTTAGGAGAAAACTAGTGCTGTAGTTCGTTTAGAAGGTATATGTTAAACTTGGAGTTTAGCTAGAACAGTGGTTAAGGAACTCGTAGAGAGTCATACGAATAGCCAGTAACAAGATAATGAAGTGTTCATATACTATTGCTTATTGAATTTATGAAGTCTGTGTGACTAGAATATTGTGAATAAACCAGCTCTTGTGTAATTGTTACATCACTGGCCTTGTTCTTAAATACGATTGAAGAGAGCTACGAACTGTATTCATTCAACTTGGCCGAACTAGGCACATCTATTTCTTGGGGGATGTATAGGCACGACTGTGCCACAACAAAACTACTTCGCTCCGAGTGTATTTAACATTCCGTCCGTCTCGAATGAATATCCTAACTGTTTACATCACCACTAAAAGTCAAATTCCGATAAAAACTACGTCGCCCAATGTGAAATACAATGTTTCGTTATTATGAAGACCCATCCCGGCTTTTGCCGGGGGCCGCAATATAGCCTGATGGTTGAACGGGATTTCTGGGACCTCTCCACGGGTGATCCTCATCCGCATGGCGGCAGTGTGTGTCACCGGTTTTTATCGCCCTGTGCGATGTCCCGGTCGGGTAAAATTTACTTACTTAATCACACTTACAGTCTGGCGTATGATATCACAACATCTAGTTGCAGTCACTGCAGCTAAAACCCATCGTACACACATGCCGTAATTGTAACAGACTCACAGAGCATGTTTAGGAAGGTAGAGACAGGTATGCTTTGTGCAGAGTGGCAAGCACTGCTCAAGTCGCTCCCGGTAGTTAGCGGCCCTTGAGTATTTTCTTCAGACAATGCCTGTGTGCTGGGAAACGAATAGACAGATAGCCCGGCTGGTTCTGCACCACTGTTTGGTGAACTGATGTATGACAACCTAGATGTTGTGAGGGTCCGATGGAAGCCAGTGAACAGTGCGGAGGCATAAACAGATCATCACTGCCTGAGAAGAACAGTGCTATCGGCAGTGACCAGGGGAGCTGACCGACACTCAAGATTTCAGGGAGAGGCGAGACCATACACAAATCAGACCGTTATTTGTACCACCCATAGAATTAGAATTCTGAGCTTGCTGCTGAAGATAGGGACGGCGCGATTATGGGAATGTCCTGAGTGATGTGACGTCGACTCTTACTTCAATATTCAGTCGTTACAAATTACTGGCACCATGAGGCTAAGGGTAACAGACATAGAATAATGCTAGATAACAGAAAGACGGAAACTGCGTACACAAGACAGCTAAATGGTCGAAGACCACGAGGTAGACCAAGAAAACAGTGAATGGCATAATGTACAGACAGACCTACAAACCCTAGGAATCACCAACGGACAACAGAAGCAACCAGAGAGATAGATGGAGGCGGTTGATATCTGCTGCAATGAAAATCAAGGGCTCTTAAGGCTGAAGAAAAAAAAAAACATGGCTCGACTTCTTTCTTCAGAGTTGCTAGAGTTCCCACTCCCCCCGCCCCGCCCCCATTCCCCACCCTACCTCCAAAAGGGTCACATGAAGTAGGAAGTCCCCTAGTTTCAGTGACTACCCCAGGGATCACTGAAAAACGTATACTCGCCAACCAAGCCACTCTGGAATTTTTTTCTCTTTGCATTCACCGATTGTAAACTCCAGCAGGAAGTTCTGGTTGTTCGCCCACCTCTAGACTTTAGATCTGTTCTAGAACATGAGTGTTGCGTGCATATTCGTTTTATATATCTGGCTTATTTGTATGCAGACTGTTGGTTCCTTGACGATCAAGCAGATACAGTCCGACTTCGAAGGAAGCCAAAATTAGTCGAATATATATATATATATATATATATATATATATATATATATATATATATATATATATATAGAGAGAGAGAGAGAGAGAGAGAGAGAGAGAGAGAGATAGAGAGAGAGAGAGACAGAGAGAGAGATGCTTGCTGGTGAGGTAGTGGGTCTATTCTTGTCCCCCCCCCCCCCCCCAATGGGACCCTGGAACCCACACAGGGATAATGTTAAAATGAATCTACGGCCTTCGGGGTGCAGGGCAAACAATGAGAAGTTCGGATTAAGGCCTTGGAGATGCGAACATTCAGAAGAATATGCTGCATTTCATGGAACAAATATGTAATGTCGCAGAGATAAATAATTTGTTAAAATCACAAAAATATTTGGGTTATACTAAAAAAACATTTGAAAAACTGTACTGAACGGAAAGCAGAAGGGAGATGAACAAGACAGACAGAGATACACATGGGAAGATAATAAAAAGAAATGACAGCACAGACTACCAGTGTCTACATCCATGATAAAGTTCTCAGGTTCCATTGTCTCATCTTAGGGGGTGGAAGATTTTAACTGATTTCTAAAGAAATTTTATTAAGAAATGTCTCAATGTTATGCTAAAGAACACGGAGCTTACCAATCCTTGTTGGAGCAATCACCCTTTTCAATGCTGGCGACGACTTAGTCCGACTATACCCAGGCATACCGGTCTGGATTGTAGGAAAATATAACAAATCAACATTTTAAATCCGACTCCACTCCCCTTCCCCCCTCCCCCTCTCCCTCCCAGCAAATTACTTGTCACTCTACGGACTGAGACATATGGTATATCTTTTGTTGTTTCTGATACTTTCACTGCCAGTAATGTCTTGATAAGAATTTTCAATGTAGCATTTTTTTTTTTTCACTGCAGTTAAAAAGGCAAACTTCTTCGTTTATTTCTTGCAGGCAATGGTTCGGGTATTAATGCCATTGTCGAGCGAATAACAAATCTCTTTGCACCGGTGACCTTAAAATGGGGGGGGGGGGGGTGTGAACTTACTTGCTTACGATGTCCCGATTTTAGCTCAAAGTATTAATGGGTTTTCCTGTTTTCAGGTCAAGCTATTATAGTCCTGTGAGGGCCTTTTTTTTTTTTTTCTTTTTTTTTAAAACTCAGATCTCACCACAGAGTCTAAATCCTGCGTGGCTGTCACTACTAGTGATCACAGATAATTAACGACCAGGATAGACGAAACAAAAGCTGCATTTCAGTAGTTGAAAAGTACACTATGTAATACAGTGCAGACATGGTCTGAATAATTCATAGGGGACCCAAGAAATGGTTCTTCTAAGAAATTCCTCTTACCCAGATAAGAATTCAAGCAATAAAAATTACAGGCGAAAAGCAAATTTTTCTTCACCTCAGAAATTCGCTACATCCGAGATCGCCTTAAGCATTGTGCACTGCAGTATGTCACTTCCGTGAATACCAGAACCTGCTCTGTTGTTTGGCAGTGAATCCTGGAAAGTTGGAACAAATTATGATGTGCTTGGACCAGCAGAAACGTGCATTCTGAGAAGAAAGTTGCCAATAACTTGTACTTTTACTTCTTCGTCTATTTTCTTGCTTCGGGAGATTTACGGTTTTACTTCTTTCTCTTCTTCCTGTCTCGACCACAGACTTGTCGTACTGTTGCATTTCTATGTCATTCTCGGTCTATCTCGTGCTCCATTGCTCTCCTCTTTTCACTTATGCCTTGTGTCATTTGTGTCGTAAGGTTTTCACATTAAGTAGGCTAGCAATTTGTTTGTTTGTCTTTGTATGTAATTTACTTATGGGGAAAAAACTGCCAATAACTGCCTTTATTTTAACAATTTGAGGTGTAGGCAGGGGTCTGTGAGGATTTACGGTCGCATGGCTAGTGCTGTCCCCATGACTGTGCAGGTGGGGATTTTTATTTTGCTCCCGACAGAAAAAAAATCCTCAGCCTTACCGAGGATTCGAACCTGAGTCTCCCGCTTGAGAGTCAAGCGTTTCAATCGTTCAGCCAGTCGCTCCTCAGTGCCAACTAGGCAGTTATTAAATAAACTAAAAACATTCATTAACTGGTGTCTGCGCAGAATAGACGGAATTAAATGGTATGATAGAATCACTAATGTAGAGCTTCGTGAGCGAATTAAATAAGTTCAAGTGGACCAAGAGATAAAGAAAAGACGCTGGCGTTAGACAGGACGCATGCTGAAAAAAAAAAACACACACAAAATCTTGAAAACAATAAAACTAGAATTTCTATGCACTGGAACCCACCGGCACAGAAATAAAGAGAGACCGAAAAAAAATTTAATTTGTGTATACATCTCCTCGATAAAAACTATGGACGCAGAGGGACTCAATTCTTGCCCAAGAACGGGAAATTCCCGTTGATCTGTGTGGTCTATAAATAGAGAAGGCCGTGGCCTAACATAGCGCATTCTTCTGTGTCACATAATTGTTGTTATCAATGGTTGCCGCGACACTTCTTTTATATTTGTGTCCCCTCTTGAATTCATCAGTTTTATCACCAAGTCACAATTACTGGAGAGTTCTTGCACTTTTATAACATTCTCCTGCTGTGATCCATTTAAGGAGACTGGGACATCAGTTGAGTTGGGTTATCTCCTTATTCTGAAAATTGAGACTTAAATAAAAAATAAAAAAAAACATAAATATAACTATTATCATAATGTCAATGCTATTTTTAAAAGTTTGACAAATAACGGCAACAAACAGCAACAAACTTAAATCCGTGGCTCTTAAGAACAGGAAGCCTCACATAGGGTGTATCCTGTAGAGTGGGGTTCGAGAACAGACCAGTCACTGGAGGGCCTCCATTGTTTCCCTTCGCTATGTCCCTCCTGGAGATGCAGCGTTGGGCAAACACGGGTAAGCACAGATGCATTTGTGTCAAACATAAGCTACATTGTTCTATTGTGTACAGAACATATTATAACATTTTACTAAACATAAACAAGAAAGCAAGAAAAGCACCTCCTAGAACAGTTATCAAATTTATTTCCCGAAACGGCATCGTTCCCCAAATATTTCTCGTTTTCGCGGGGTCCAAGAGCTGGCCTCGCGCCTCAACCCTTTTCCTTTCTCATCTGGGCTTGTGACCGACAATGACGGTAGATACATTATACCAAAAATACGTCAAATGTTGTGGAGATAGATACAGCACAGTTCAGGGAAGCCAATCCCTTAACGTTCTAGATGTGTGCTACTAGACCTAGAAGTAACAGAAGTATAAGCAGTTCCACACCCTTCCTCTGATGCCCCCCCCCCCCCGCATGGACCCCCTTCCTATTCCAGTCTTCCTCCTCCCCTTTATCCGCCGAATATTCCTTCCCTTCTTCTTCTTTCTCTCCTTCTACTTTTCTTCTTCTTTTTCTTTTTCTACTACTTCGTCTTCTTTTTCTTCTTCAATTTTTGTTCTTCTTCTTCTTTTTCTTCTTCTTCTTCTTCTTCTTCTTCTTCTTCTTCTTCTTCTTCTTCTTCTTCTTTTTCTTCTTCTTCTTCTTCTTCTTCTTCTTCTTCTTCTTCTTCTTCTTCTTCTTCTTCTTCTTCTTCTTCTTCTTTTTCTTCTTTTTCTTCTTCTTTTTCTTCTGCTTCTTCTTTTGCTTCTTCGGCTTATTTTCCGCACACAATTAGCATGCTGCATTATCAACAGTTACTAGATGATAACTTTATTCGATAAACATAATGATCGTTAGCGCGCTAAAAGCTGCAGGGTTCAGTTGTAATTTATGACAGGCAGGCAGGCAGGCAAGCAGGCAGACAGACAGACAGACAGAGAGAGAGAGAGAGAGAGAGAGAGAGAGAGAGAGAGAGAGAGAGAGAGAGAGATAGATAGATAGATAGATAGATAGATAGATAGATAGATAGATAGATAGATAGATAGATAGATAGATAGATAGATAGATAGATAGATAGATAGATAGATAGATAGATAGATAGATAGATAGATAGATAGATAGATAGATAGATAGATAGATAGATAGATAGATAGATAGATAGATAGATAGATAGATAGATAGATAGATAGATAGATAGATAGATAGATAGATAGATAGATAGATAGATAGATAGATAGATAGATAGATAGATAGATAGATAGATAGATAGATAGATAGATAGATAGATAAACCGACAGACAGACAGACAGACAGATAGACAGATAGATAGATAGACTAGATAGATAGATAGATAGATAGATAGATAGATAGATAGATAGATAGATAGATAGATAGATAGATAGATAGATAGATAGATAGATAGATAGATAGATAGATAGATAGATAGATAGATAGATAGATAGATAGATAGATAGATAGATAGATAGATAGATAGATAGATAGATAGATAGATAGATAGATAGATAGATAGATAGATAGATAGATAGATAGATAGATAGATAGATAGATAGATAGATAGATAGATAGATAGATAGATAGATAGATAGATAGATAGATAGATAGATAGATAGATAGATAGATAGATAGATAGATAGATAGATAGATAGATAGATAGATAGATAGATAGATAGATAGATAGATAGAGGAGGGAGATGGGAGGGGAAGAGAGAGCGGAGAGAGAGAGAGAGAGATGGGGAGAGAGAGAGAGAGAGAGAGAGAGAGAGAGAGAGAGAGAGAGAGAGAGAGAGAGAGAGAGAGAGAGAGAGAGAGAGAGAGTGGGCTACTGGTTTACCTGAACGTGTCCGGCCCTGATACATTCCCAAACATCAGGCCAGTACTGCTAGTTGCTGTTTGTGTCAAACCATGGCTTGTCCCAGCGTTCCAAAGCCGAGGAGATGACTAAACACATACACATACACAAGAAAAACACATTCAGCTGTCAATATACGCATACGGTTTTAACAGGTAAAGTTCCCTTCTATTTAATAACTAATTTGGAAATATTGTACTTCAACATTATAGGGAATCGAGTGGTTCTACTCTGCAGACTATAAAGGAGTGTGAGGCAATGAAAGAGCATGTTTTAGGCTACAAAAGCGATAGCTACGGGAACAAATACGGGACTAGACAAAAGAGACATTCTAAAGACCATTTATCATGATTTGATGGTTTGAACAATGGATCAACATCATGGCTCCGTACTACTTCTAACTCAAGCCTGAGTCCAAAGAATCTGAGAGCAGTGCATGAACTCCGTAGCACCGGCGAGAATCCCGTACTATTTTTGGGTAATTTGTAACTCCAAATTTTTGCCCTGGCAGCGCCGATAGGCTACTCTTTTCGATTTCCAACTGCCAAGGGATTTTTTTACGTACTGGACAATACACACAGGCGTCTGATCTTACTACCCAGAGACCATGAGCAATTACCAGACGTCCACGTAAAAAAAAAATCCTAGCCTTTACCAGGGCCTGAACCCGGGACCTCCAGCAGTTGAGGCAGACGCCTGGCCTTTAGACCACCCAGCAGCCGTTTATGAACAAATACCGATAGAAGACAAGAGGTTAGATGCAATAACACATGAAAGAATGTGTGAACGGGGTATTCGGTGTAGAACCGGCAAGGCTGGACATAATAGGGAAAGGGAAGCTCGTGTGCATAATCACTGTGCTACGGGGACATTGTCCTTAATCATGGCTAGGTTTTATCCCAATAACTGTGTCACTTCCGCGGTCTTTGTGCCAACTCCGTAGAGCTACTTACTGTGAATTCCAGCTGCCACGGGATTTTTCCCCCTCCATGTTCGCAAACAGAATTATGTTCTATTTTTTGCTGTCATATATATATATATATATATATATATATATATATATATATATATATATATATATATATATATATATATATATATATATATATATATATATATATATATATATGAGTAGAGCGGTGTCCGTGACTTAGGCGTTGCGAGTTCGACTCGTAATTCCAACGTACCGCGATCGAAATCCACTGCTGCCTGCGTGGATTTTATCATGGCATGGGGTGTCCCAGGTCGACCCAGCTTTAAATGGGTACCAGGATAGATGTCCTAGGAAAGTAAAGACGGCCGGATGATGCAGACCACATTAAGTGCTCTGCCACCAGTACGGACAGCTGATAAGAAACTGTCCGCCTGTGTCGCCGTCCGCACGAAACTCCGTAGCTACAGCTACGTTCCTCCATGTACCCCAGAGTGTTAACTCTGGTACCAATTTCCTAGAGGTTGGGTGAACCCCGGTTCCTACACCAGCCATGGGCTGCAGCGAACTGCAGCTGGATTTGAAAGCGAGTCTCCTACTGACTGCGCTAACGTGGCGCCGACTTACTTTACTAAGAATGAGTGGTGAATATATGTAATAGAATGTAGCAAACTCCTCTTTTCTTAAAGCGGGTGGATCTCGATAGTCACACTCGCCATGCCATAGGCTGTGATTCCCATGCTTGAACAAAACAATATAACATTTAAGTCTGGAAAGACGGAAAAGTGCCAGCAGATACTCCACTGGACGTAAATTTGCCTCGAAAAATAACACAAGCCAAAAAATGCTTGGGTTGGTTCCGCAATGTCCTATAAAGGATGCGCAACAAACTAACCAGCTAAGTAGTTAACGTGAGTCACAGTACGTACTTTATCATCATCAGATGCCTTGCCGACTGGCGTGGGCGATCATGCCTCTCCATAATCTGCTATCTCCTGCAGCATGTATCAGTTCATGTGCCGACACACCTCCATGCCATGCAACAAGACTGTCAAGCATCTTCTCTCGTTGTCTTCCTCTATCTCTCCTTCCACAGATCGTTCCAGTGGTCACAACATGTTCTATTTTCCCTCTTCTCATAACATGGCCGAAAAATGATGACTGTCTCCTTCTGATGTCTGTGATAAGTTGTCTTCGGGCTCCCGCCTCTTTCAAAACCTCTTGGTTGCTCTTTTTGGGTGTCCAAGGTATTCTAAGCATTATTCTGTAAAACCACATCTCCGAGGCCTCCAGAAATTGTTTGGGCTGTCTACCGATTGTCCAGGATTCACAGCCATATGTTAAAACTGGATGTATGTAGCAAGAAAGAATTCTTTTTTTGGTACGTACTTACCACTGAGTAATTTCTAGACTGGCTGTCCCCGAGAAGATAACTGGGCAGAAATGGGGAAGACTGCCCCTGACCGGCACGCAGAGAGTGCGCCGGGCCATCTGATAACAGTGACATGAAGGAATCTGTTGACAGAATAGTTGATTCCATATTCTGAACAATGTCAATCAATTAGGTGCCGTCTCCACAATGCAGGTTGGCAGTAATGGATCTCCCCCTTGAATCGTTGTCTATTTCCTGCTCTCTTGATTTCACCTTTTCCCTCTAGCATGCGTTTTATAATTATGTCTTTTACTATGGTCGAAATACTTCAATATTTGTTTAATGAGAAACTGCATTAAAGGGTCGTGGCATTAGGAAGGTTGAGAGCCACTGGTCTAGGAATAAAACTGGATTTAGCGTATTTAACGTCCTTTTGATTTAGCCTCGAATGGGGAAAGGTTAAACACTTGGGCTGCCATACGTCCTCATAATTTGGGACAAGTCCTCATTGCACGTGTAAATCTGAGTTCACAAACAATTTTGGACACTTGTAGATGTGCAATTTTACAAGCCAAGAAATTATTTACACTCTGTCAGAGACATCATGTGATAGCTGTACAATCGCCTCCAGGATTGAAGTCTGAGCGATTAACACCTCAAGGATGAGAATCAAACCAGCACAAGCCCCAGAAACCCCGTTCAACCCCATAGCGTCGTTATACTGAAGCATCCCAAAACGTTTATGAAGTAACTTTTAGTTCAGCGTGGGTACGTCCGATGGGTGACACTTTAATGTTCATGTCCTCAAAGACAGACCGCTCCTTTCTGCCTGTGACCCTAAGTGTTCCCTTTGACCTTGTCTTCCTGGTTGTTTCCTTCCTGGGTCATCCTCCTTCCTGTTCAGTCTTGCCCTTGTTTCCTCTATTGTGAAACCGATTCTGTTCCTTTGTATTCTGACCAGGCGTATCTCGTATGAGACCAGGATAGTTCTATAAGACGTCCTTTCGGACACCCGACCCTTTAGTAAAGTAACATAATCTGAAATCTACCCTAGAAGAGTGCAAAAGAAAGTAGTGACTGAGAGGCAAATAATCAATAATCGATAACTTACTTAGAAGAGCTGCAGGAGTTTCAAGGAAAGACAGAATACGAAATCACGAAATCAGACGAATGCTGGGTATAAAGCCAGTCTTACAGGTCATCAAAGAACAACAAATGAAGCGGTTTGGGCACCTAACAAGAATGCCCTGGTACTATCCGCCACACTAAAACGTTACAACAGGTATAGAGCGAGTGGAAGACCTCGGAAAATATGGAGAGATGGCATTAAGAACAGCCTTACAGAAATATACATCAGTCTTAATAAGTGATCTTAACAGTGCTCATCAACGAACGTTACATCCGCCCCCCCCCCCCCCCCCCCCCCCCCCCCCCCCCCCCCTTTTTCAATGAGGTAAAAGGTGGAAGAAAAGAAAAAAAAGAAAGAAGAAAAAGAAGAAGAAGAAGAAGAAGAAGAAAACTTACCATGGCTATCAAGATGTTCGTGACCTCTGCCTTGTGAAAACATCGTCCAGGCTCAGATAATAATAATTTCAACAACAAAAAAATGAAGAAGCTGCCTATGGAGGACTTTCAAATTGTGTTCATTTCCCCAGCAAATCCGGACATTTTACAGTTTTTACAACTGAGAGTCGTCAGCAACTAAGGCATTATTAGAGTGGTGTCCCTTGTAATCTATTCGTCCTCTTCGTATAGGGTAGGAATCTCGGTCATTATAATTATTATCACATCGGAATTAGAACTCTTTGCTTAATGCTAAAGCACTACCGGCTCCTCAGCTGGAACCGGTCGTGGCTGAAGATGGGGACAGAAGGTATAGTAGCTGGTCCAGTACTGGGCGGATGACACTGGCTATAGTCAGGCACTCACGGTCTTTTCTTGTAGCAATTTACAGAAGCAAGTCGTAGTCTATCTCGAAATCATTTGGAAAGCAAATAGGGAATTTTTAGCTGAAGTGCTATAGAATGATTCTTACAACACTAAGGATTAAGACGAACATAAATTTGGCATCCTAAAAGAACCGAGCAATAAACAGCTGGCTGACTGACTGACTGACTTTCTACCCCATAAGGACATCACACAAGCGATAAACACCCGATGAAACAATGTGCTAGATACCGAGTTCAGCCTTTATGCCATATTTATGGCTTGGCTATATTGCGGCCCCTGGCAAAGCCAGAGTAGGCCTTCAAATAACGAAAAATTACATCCTGAAAAGGACGGGAAGTGATAAAACACACAAAAATAGTATCTTGTCTCAAAAATTAAAACGCCGTGGCCATATAAAACAAAACAGTGGATTGGAAAGAACAGTAGAGAAGGTCATAGAACTTTGTGTATTGTTGCGCACGAAAAAAAAATCTCTTCGCAGTTGGAAATCGAAAAGAGCAGCCTAATGGCGCTACCAGGGGAAAATTTGAGTTAAATAATCTACCTATAGTATTTCAGGACCCTTGCCGGTGCTATGGAGTTCGTGCACTGCAGTGAGATTCTTCTGACTCAGGCTTGAGTTAGAAGTAGAACAGAGCACTTATGGGTTAATACTCGTGTGCCATGATGTTGATCTGTTGTTCACACTGTTATATAGTATATGGTAAGAGAGGCAGGGGCCGGCCAGCACAAAGATGGGCAGATGACATAAGAGACACCTTGAGCAGGAAAATGCATCATGCAGGAGGTCTAAGAGACTGAGTTTCTTTAGACGAGCTGTGATGGGCGCGAAGTTCTGTAATGGATCTGCTACACCAGTGGCTCTCAACTTTCCTAATGCCGCGACCCTTTAATACAGTTCACTCATGTTGTGCCGACTCTTAAACAATTATTTTCCTTCATAACTTCACAACTATGTGTTTTCTGATGGTCTTAGGCAACCCCTGCGAAAGGGTCGCTAACGGCAGGTTGAGAACCACTGTGCTGCACGATGAGAAATGTTAGTGGACGGGGTAGCCAACCCCAAGAATACCCTTAATTGTTGCAAGCTGATTAACCAGTTTATCACTTTATGCATGTGTAACACAACTTCACACTGCAGTTAACACACTGTGTCGCGACCCAGTTTGGAAAGCTCTGCTCAGGTAACATTGTTCAAGATAGACATGGTCAAGTGAACTTTAGGTAGTGGGATTCAGAATGATGTATGGTTTGTTGGATTTGTTTATCTTAGAGATGTGTTCCCTGTACTGCTAAGAGGCTTGAGTGATGTTTAGCCATTTTTCAAATCTAGTTCTGGAAAATGAATGTCATCTGCAGTGGTATATTCATCGACCATACACATAAAGGAGAGTCGCCGTGGTGTGGTGGCTAGACGCTTGCCTGTGGATTGGAAGGTCGTAAGTTCAGGTCCTGACACAGTCAGACGTTTTTTCAAAAATGGCCTTAGCTCCCATTTCGGCCCAGCCCTGATTGGGTACCAAGTGCAGTGTTGGGAAGTAAAGGTAGACCAGTGTGATGCTGACCACATCCCTCATCAAGTACTGACTGGTCTAGCCCTATATGCCCAATACGTCTGAAGATGTGGAAAAGGGTCCTGTACTTTTTTACACACATACAAACTAAGAAACATGCACACTGACAATCAAAGATTGTGAAAATGCATAGAATCATTAAAATCTGCCTTTTTTTATTTCAAAAATGTTAAACAAGCAATAATCATAAATCAAAATAACTGACATAGCTGTAACAAAGTCAACACAAGGGTCCTAGTCTCAACAGTAGAAAAACAAAAGTTGTAGCTTCCAGGGCGACCCAGCCTTAAATGGCTACCAGATGCAAAGAAAATGGACCGTGGGAAATGAAACATCAAAGTAAGTGGGCAATCCTCAGACAAGGTAAGTTTAGGTATTTTTGTACCCAGATAACAGTAGATGGAAAATGTATTTAAAGAAGCTGGTGTATAATAGCCAAGCAAAGGCAGCATTTCGCAAAGTGAAGAAAAATCTATGCCATCTCTTTCTGTCAACTGAGGGAGAAAAAGAATTCCCAAGAGCTAATTAATCTATCCTGATACTGGAAAATGAATTATGGTTCGTTGGCCAATATGTGAAAAATTATGTGGAAGCAGAGGAGATGTGGTTTTACAGAGAAATGAAAAGAACACCCAGTACAGATAAAAGAGTACTGAGGATGATTTGAAAGAAATTGACTCAAGGAGAGAACTGACTGCACACATCAGAAGGAGACTGCACTCTTTGGTCATGTCAAGAGAAAACTGGAGTATACCATGATGGTGGACAGAGAGGAGAAGAGGGAGACTGAGAGATAAGAGACTGGAGAATTCGACACAGCAAGGAAAAAACCATCCTTGTCAGAAGTAACTGAAAGTACATGAGACAGAAGTTTGTAGATAGACGTGACTACCAACAGCACACAGCATGGACTTTAAGAAGAAACATAATTATCAGCTCACAAAGGAATGTTTCATCATTATTATCCTAAGGTTCATCAAACTTCCTAGTTTTCATGACAGGTCAATAGTACAGTGGTTGGCATGCCTGCCTGTTAGTCCAGTAGTCATAGGTTCAAATCGTCATTGGATAAAGATTACTGAAACTGACCTGGACAGGTCTTCCTGTGTAGGTTCCAGGACCCCATTGTAGGTGGAACAAGATTAGACCCACTGCCTCCCTGACTAACTGGTGGCTTCCTTTGAAGTCAGAGTGCATCTGCCTGAGAGGCAAGAAACCAACAATCTGTATGCAAATAAGTCAGATCTCTCAAATGGATATGCATGCAACATTCAGGTTCTGGAACAAGTCTAAAGTCCAGAGGTGGACAAGCAACCAGAACTTTCTGCCAGAGTTTACAGCCGGTGAACGCGAAGAAGGCCTAGGCAGGTGAACCCAGCCTAATATGGATACCAGAACATGCCTTAAGAAGTACAGATGGCTGGTGTGTTGACCACTGAGTGTCACCTGCTTTATATAAATATGAGACCAGAACTATATACGTAACATGTATCAAGGTGTGGAAACAGGTCAGTTAGTGCTGTATCCTGTAGAGGACATTGCAGAACCAACCCCAATAGTTTTTAGTTTGCCACTGCTTTCTGAAATGTCAATTCTCAAAACCCCTTTTAAAACCAGTGCAAGGCTGTCGTCGCAGCTGGGATCGAACCTGGAATTACAAAGTGTGCTCACAACACCTTGCCTAAGTCATAGATGCTGAAACAAATCGAACAAGTGCTAAAACAAAGTTTACAAATAGACTTAAATATTATAATGCAAGCCTTTAGATCAGATCATTACAATTATTTGTGTCATTAAATTAATGTCATTAATCAACATGAAACAGATGATTCAAAATTAAACAGAAAACAACTACTGAAAAAGGATGACTTTTCAAGTGCCACAAAACTAGAAATTATCACATAACTCATTAATAAACATTGAGAGTGGATTTCTCTCCGAACCCAGCTAAGCTGACTGTTACACTGCAGACTCAAGTATCACGGTCATACACATTGCTGTTAGGGAAAAACAATTAAATGGACATTATAAACACAAACAATATGCCATTTGTTCCCCTGACTCAATGTGTACAAGCACACAGTTGTGCAGTCAGGATTTTGAACACTTTTAGCCAAACTTTACTGAAATGTTGAAACAAACAACAAAATATAAACCCAACACCAGGACATATAAAATAGTTATCAAGCAAAAGTCAAATGATGTAATAAATAAAACAGGTGTCTGGTTAATTACAGGACAAGTTGTTAGTCAATAAATGACAGAGGCAAAGGAGATGTGGAGGGGGGGGGACGAGGGAAAGAGAGAGAGAGAAAAAAGGGAGGGAGAAAGCGAGAAATTAATGGGGGCTGACCAGGCGCACCACCAGAAAGAAAATATCTACACATTTTCTAGGGACCCAAAAAAAATAATAATAGGGGGCAGGTTTAAGGAACCTGATAACCCCCCCCCCCCCCCCCTTAAGGTTCCAGCACTATGCAATTTACTGGATGAGACTAAAAAAGAAATACAAAGAATTCCAAACACTAAGAAGTAAGTTTGTGTGCCCTTGCAGCAGCATAACATCAGCATGGCAGCAATTTAACTCAGAACAGTAACATGTTTACACAGTATAAGTGATGTTTAGTTGTTCAAGTGATGTTAACACTGTTTTACATTTATTTAGTTCACATAATTTTAACACTGTGTTATGTTTACAGTTAAAACTCATCATCATCATCATGTAGCAGGTCCTTTGCAGAATGTCGCTCTCATCATGGTCTGCCTGAAAGAAACTCGGTCTCTCGCCAGCTCTCCCACTTTGCGCACTTTCATATTAAAGGAGTCGCCTATATCTTATGCCCATCTTTGTGTTGGTTGGCTCTGCCCCTGCCTTCTGTTATTATTTTTTCCAGTCCACTGTGGCACTTGATATGGCCAATCAGCTTCCGGGACAAGATACTGTTTATAAGCCGATCTTCCTTGATGTTCAGATCTTTTAGAATATCAGTATTTCTTTTCTTCTTTGTCCATGGTATTCTGAAAATATTTCTATAGCATTCCAGCTCAAAAGCCCCTATATTGTTCCTTAAGGACTGAGAGAGAGTCCATGACTCACATCTGTATGAACCTAAAGGAAAGATGCACACTCTCAAAATTGTAACATTAATTTTCTTAGTGCTTAAACATAGACTTTAAATGCTGTTTGATACAGTAAGAATTACTCTGCTCTAGACGACAGTAACAGAAGGTCCTAGATAACATCAAGTGTGACTAGAAAGCTCCACACAGGGAATGAAAAAGACTCGCACAAATACAACTGAACTCTTTGACCAGTCTCTATCAACAGTTTCCACTTTGGTCGAAATGTTTGACAGCATCAGTGTGTATCTTTTCTATTCCCCACATTGAGCTTTCTAGTCACATGTTATGTTATTTAGCCCTTCTTCAGCTTGGCTGCTGTTACCCCCTTACTGACGTCATGACAGTAATATAGTTTATTAGGCTTGGTAGCAAAATCATTTGATAGTTACTTTACCATATATGACAGCAAAATTGTCTCATCTACTATCACCATGTGCCACGCCAATAAACTGAAGTGCTTTTGTCTCATTCCATCCATTATGACTAAACCATTAAACTATTTATCTCTTTTTCTTTCCGTTGCTCTCTTTCCATCAATCTTGCAAGTTTTTAACCACGTTCTTGAGACCATTCATTACTGCTGTGTACATAACAGTAGTAGTTTTACTACACTTCTGTGTATTACAGTACGTACAAACTACCTTACTCTTTTATGTATACAGTAACACTGACATACTCTCCTGGATATGATGGTCAAATGATCCTAATCCTCTGTGTATGCACTGTAGTCTATGTACCAACAAAGTGTCCCATTGACAGGGTTGACACCCAGGATGGGGTAATGCTCCACAGACTGTAAGGTGTCAGTCTCCAGTTTGCTGACAATCTCTTGTTTTTGTGACCCAGTGACAAAAATAGTCACTCTTTTGGCTCGGTTGATTAATGGCAGGGTCATGGTCATACGACGTTCTGTGCCTCGTGGTCCATCCTCTGTTGTGATGACAAAAGTGTTGCTATCCACATGAAGGTCGGCGCTCATCGGAAACAGCGAGGCTGTGTGACCATCTGTGCCAAGACCCAACACAATGAAGTCTAGTTGTGAGTTTGGAACAATGTGGCGTAAAGATTCTGCGTAAGCGTGGGCCCCTCCAAGCTCGGGATCACATAAACGGCCTCCCGTATAGACAGGCATGGCATGAATGTTGGAGTAAGGAATGTCTACAAACCGCAGTAGTTCCCGATCAAGCATCTGAAAATTGGAACGTTCGTCCTGATGAGGGACACACCTCTCGTCCACCTGCCATACATGAATGGACTGCCAGTGAAGATTTGCAAAAGAATGAGCCAGGACCTGGAAAATCTTCTGAACAGAAACTCCACCAGAGAATGCAATGTGGAATGATCCTTTGCTCTGGATGTCTGCTCCGGCAGCTTTGTCTATGTCTCTTGCCAACAGAAATGCCAGATGATCAGTGTGGCTGGTAACAAGCTTCTGACCTAGAAACGTTGCTGCCGTCTGCATGAACTTATGCTCATCACTTTTACGAGAAACCACTCTTTCATTATCACCATCTCTTTCGGGGCCAATATCTTTAGCAAATTCCAGCTGACTTTCCTTAACAATAAAGTTCAGGTGGCCCTGAGGATCAGAATGTTCATAAATGCGGATCTTCTTAGGAGCGCTAGTTATATAATCCCACATCTGCCAGGACAGAAGCAGCTGAGTTGTACTAACAAAATGTTCCTGCCTATTTGCCAGGATGTCTGCAAATATTGAGACATATGCTGGAATGTCTTTTAGAACAGTACATACATAAAACTGCTTTAAGCTGTCTCCATAGACTGCATGAGTTGATAATGAGTTAACATCCAAAGATTCCTTAAAATGTTCTGGGCAATGAGCTTTCTCAAATGATTTTGAGACCAAAATTGATGGTCTATGAAGACTACCATGTCCAATGTGGAAAATTATTTGTTTCGCATTCTTTCCTTTCTCTTCCAGGTTTTTATGTGCACAATGGGAAACACACACATAGTTATCTTTAAACACAATTCTAATAAAACTTTCTCTGACATCTAACTGTTTACCCGAGACAAGCAAAAAGGGAACACTGCGCCATCTTGGAGAATTTATTTTCACCACTGACGCAGCAAATGTTGGTGAGTTACCAGTATTGTTCGACTCAAGGTCCTTGGCATTTCCTGCATACGTCTTGTACTGACCAAAGAGGGAATTGTGCCTAGTGACTGGTTCTATCTGTTTCAGTAACCGTTCCTTATTCTGATGGACTTCAACTGTGTTGTTCATGTCAGAAGGCAAATCCATACTGACAAGAATCAATAACTGAGTTAGATGGTTCTGATGAATGTCTCTGAGAACTCCCATGGTATTGTAGACTTCTAAACGATCTGTACAAGAGAGATACAATAAAAGTGATTAGTAGAAATATTTTCAACAAAGCATTTATGATATGAACAAAGAAGACACAAACAATAGATTTCACAAGTTATAGCTTGGCAAATTTTGCTGCACCTCATCAAGTGCATTATATAGTAATAATTCAATAAAATGATGCAAACAAATGAATTCTTTAAAACTTAAATATAAAATCAACCGCCCTCTAAAGTAACTGCCTCATTTATCAGAGCAAGTGTAGGTTCACTAGCATATCCTTCTGTTTATACAAATCTGAATTAAAGTGAATAATTCTGGCCGCTTCAAGAAATATAAGCAAACTGCCATTCTTTGATGTACACAGAATCTAAAAAGCAATGTCCTTGTTTACAAATTGGTTAGAGTTCAAAAGGTGGTGCACGATGGAAGAGGGGTGGTTCCTTTGAACAGTCATGACCTGAAAACAAACCTAAATGGAGGCCCAGAACATACCTCAGAGGAGATTAGAAAATGACAATGGGGAATAACGAGTTAAAGCCTTTACATGGAAACAAATCTGCCAGGAAACAGAAGTGAGTATCAAAAAGGAGATTAGAAAAATCAGTCAGGGTTCTTGGTGTGTTGTTAGACCAGCTTGTTATACAGTTGATGTATACTAGTTATAGACCCATTCTGTGATGAGGTTGGTGAATATGGAGAATGAAGCTTTTAGGGGACGTTCCAAGTGCAGTAATGTCAATTCTTAACTCAATTAAATTATGTACATTGCACAGTGATGTGGGATGATGTGTCCCAGCTATCGCAAGCTTACATCTAAAGCACCTTGGTTATCCACATTCCTAGTCAGGACTTCATGAATATAGTTTCTCCTAATCTCTTAACTTTCATTAAAACTGAAAGCATTCTTATCTTCTTAAAGAGTAAGTAATTCATGCTGGATGTAGTACAACTCTAAAACCTCTGAGGTTTAACTACAAAGAAACATTCAAGCTTCACAGATTCTCAGAATAACCTGTTTGGTTGGCTGGTTTTGCATTGTTTGGAAGTTCGTGAGCTTTAACCATTAAGTCTGATGTCTTGAAATTCAGTAAGTCTGAGCTCTGTTATATTCACTGTTAACCTTTTCACCCCAGTAAACTAGAAAAAACAAAGCCAAGCACCGTACTTTCCATTTTTAAGATATTCCCATACACACAAAAGTCTATAGATAAACAACCACATGTCACCCAAAAAATAAAATAAAACAAAACAAAAATTTCACAAAATCAATTAATCACCAAAAATACAAACTCTATACAGAATAAGAGGATTAGTCAATATAAACGAATGCAGCATTACTCAAAATTCAAATAGATAAAATCTTTTGGTGCCTGTATACTAATTTCCTGTCTCGGAAGCTGAAATATTTTGGTTATATCAAGCGCCACAAGAGATTGGAAAAAAATAGCAGAAGGTGTGATACCAGGAAAGAGAGGCAGGAGCCGATCAATATGAAGATGTGCACAGGTTATAAGTGATGAAAGTACATGAGTTTCTTTCAGGCAGACCGTGATGAGAGCGACATTCTGCAAAGGACCTGCTACATGATGATGATGATATGAATTATAGAATGACACTTAACCCTGAGATCTAGTCGGCACTAACCTCTGTAGCCAATGCTAAAAACAGGACGTACGAATTTCTATAAATAAAGCCATATTTGAAAGGACCTCCCCCACCCCCCACCACCGTCACGCTGAAAATGCACAGATGAAATGAATTCTTTAAGCTAGACGTCTCCTAAAAATGTTATAGCGAGTGAGGAAAGCAACTTTAATGGGGAAATAGCACCAACTGGAAGTGTCCGTTTTGTGGTTTCTCGAGGCAAAAGAGCTAAACAATATCACTTTTCCGGATGCTAGAAGTAGGTTATCTTCAATGCTAGAATCATTCTAATAATAAAACTAAAATAAAAATGTCCCCTCCCTGAGATTATTTCTTCTTTTTCTTCTCTACATTTACCCCTAAAAGAGCAGTTTGCCTAGTGTATTGCTGTTTCCAGCTAGGCTGCAATATATGTGCCCTTCATCCTAATACATCTTATTTCACTAAATAATATTTATCCAATGACAAGGAACAAGTTCCTCATGCACACCTTAAGAAATATATTTATTCTGCTTTTTAAAACATTTTAAAATATATTTCCTATTATATGAAGAGGCATCAACTAGCATAGGGTTATTCAACTTGCGGCCCGCAGGACACATCAGGTCAGCGGAGGCCTAGCAAGTGGCCTGCAGATCACAGCCAGTTGTATTCTATTGATGATCTTTCTATGCTTGAGCTCGGATGTCTGGCCCCTAATGATTGTGATAATCCTCATTTTTCAAAATTTTGACCCCTGAGTCAATTTAGTTTAAACAGCCCTGAACTTGTCTAAAAACAGGCCATAAGCCTCCTCACATCAACCAAGCATACTCAGGTTTCATTGATTAATCAAAAACACACTTGCTACTGACCTTCAACACCAACAGTTTCTTTGATGAATATTTCAACTTTTTCTACAAAATCTTTGTTCAGATTTTTTTCAAAGTTGGGGTTGAGATGCCTGAGAAATAATCCAGATGAAAAATGTTACTAATAAAACATAAAAAAAAACTTAGGTTAAAAAAAAACACAATAACACTAACAATATTACCAGTCAAAGCAACGTTTACCTGTTGTGAATTTGAACAATGAAGATACAAACAACAGACTGCACAGTTTTTTACCCGGCATATTTCATTGCATCTCGTCAGGTAGATACTACAGTAACTTTTTCTTCTCTTTCACCATTAACCTCAGCCAGGTGTTGGGGGAAGATGTGAGGATCGTTTGTGCACTTTTTCCAGTGCATTGTACATGTTGGTGTTCATTTCTGTTAGGCTGCTCCTGATGATGTCACTCCATTAGTGTGTGGTCTTCCTCTTGCTCTCTGTTCATTATATTTCTTCACCGTGGCTCTCTGTGGCAGCTGGTAACAGGGCATTCTTGTCAGGTGGCCAAACCATCTCATTTGTTGTTCATCAATGAAGTGTATGACTGATTTCAGTCCTAGTCTTCTTCTGATTTCTTTATTCCTGATTTTCTCTCTTCTTGTCATGCTGGCAGCTCTCCCAAGACATCTCATCTCTGTTAACATGATCTTATGCTCATTAGTTGTAGTAAGGGTCCATGTTTGGCACTGGTAGCACAATGTGGGCTAAAAAACCATTCTTATGAGATTTGTTTTGGTTGACAGAGGTATCTTTCTATGCGTCAGAAGCGGTGTTAATTGTCCAATAACCTGATTTGGTTTCACACATCATATGTTGATTTCTCTATCAATTCTTCCATCTGCGGAAAAAAATTACCCTAGATATTTTATTTTGTGCGTTTGTTTCATATTTCAGTAACAACTGATTAAAATGAAGCAAATAAATGAATCCCTTCAACTGAATCAAAAACTGACTACATTCAAAAGTAACTTCCTCTTTTACTAGGGCAAATCCAAGGTGGCGACCATATCCTTCTGTCTGCATAATTCTGGACTGAACCACTTTATTGCTGTTGCTTCCATGAATCGCAGTAGTCTCCGACTGACTGAGGCATACACAATTTGGAAAGCGACATCCTTGTTTACACTGTGCCCAGAATTTAAAAGATGGAACGCATGTACGATGTGCGGGCTTGCCATACAGTCACCTGTTTTTGTGTGTTTGCTCTTAGTAAACTGTTTTTTTTAAAACTTATACCTACTGAAAGCAACATACATACTCTAAATTTTGACATTCTGTATCTTTGTAACGCTATAAGTGAAATTTTTCAAATTTCACATAAGAAAACCTTAGGGCCCCACCACTCAATTGATAGGTTTTTTTCCCCATCTGGGCCTCGATAAATTTAGGCGTACAGCCTTTCTCGTTAGTTTGTGTGTGGCCTCCTCTTGCGTGGATCAGTGACTGGCATCTTCTGGGCATGGACCTGATCAGATGTCTGGCGTAGGCCTGTGGGATGGCTGCCCACTCTTTCTGAAGTGCCTGGAACAAATTACGACCACTGACTCAAGCAAAGTCTCAGCAACAAACACGTCTTTACAGCTCATCCCCCAGGTGCTTTATCGGACATGTCTGCAGACAGGGATGGATATACATATATATCGAGCCTGTTCTGTTGTATGTTAGTGAATCTTGGAATGTGAACAAACAAACGGAGTTTGGAGGCATATGAGATGTGGTTCTTGGGAAAAATGTTGAGAATACCTTAGACTGCCCGAATAACCAACATATATATGTATATGACCAATAATAACAAAATTATCATGTTAAAGCAATGTTTCCACATCGTGAATTTGAAAAAAGAAGACAAACAACAAACTGCACAATTTATTTCCTGGCATATTTCGCTTTATCTCAGCAGGTGCATTTTACATTATCAATTGAAACAGCGAAGAAGAAAAAGAAATAATTTTAACTGAAACACAAAACCAACTACACTCAGCTACAACAATAAATCCCTTTCATCCAGATTTGTGCAGACAAAAAGACATGATCATGAACCTGCGTTTGCCCTGTTAAAACAAGCAAGCATTTTTTTTAGTGTACTGATTCTGTATTTCAGCTAGAAGATTCAATTTCAACTAAAAATCAATAAAAGAAGTTAAAGTCAACATTAATATAAAAGAGAACTTTCCAGAAACCAATGAAGGAAGTAATGATTTGCTAAGGACATGCTATTTGATGACGACCAGTTAAAACAATAACAAATTTACTTTTGGGCATTAAAACAAGTCATAAAATCTGAAAGGCATAATATCAACCAACCTGAATGGAAGTATGGCCTTTGCAACCGATTTCCCAAGATAATGATCTACCCTGTAGATATCCTCCTCCTCAAAGTATGACAGCATTTTATTAGACATTGTCTCAGCACTCGCCTTGTCCAAACCAAATGGTTTCTCCACAGCAAGTCTGACACTGACGTTGTGACTGCGTAGTGCTGAGCAGTGTTTGTGAAATTTCGCTAAGACAGCCTCATATGCATCTGGTGGGATGGCGACAAACAAGATGAGTTCTCTTGTTGTACTAGCAGGAAAGTTGACAAACTTGCGTGTCAGCTCTGAACACACCAGAGCATAATCTTCATCCTCCAGTAAAGTTATATATGTCACTTTGTCTATAAACTCAGTCAGTGTTTTCAAACACTGTCTCTCACTGTCTACATCACATTTAACGGCAGTCGTTAGAATTTTGTTCAGAATCACACTTCCTTTGTCTTGTTGTGATCTACCAGCGGCATAAAAATCGATCGTGTGATTTACCGGAGTTGGACTCCAATTGGACTCATCATGACGATTTTCTACAATGGAGAGGTAAACATCAAACACACTCTGCCAGAGATACTTCTCTGCCAGGTCTCCTGTACCTCCGACGATGACTAGAACTGAATGTTTATTGTTCGAAACTGGAGACCCAACAGCAGCAAGGCAGATGATCAGTGTCAGTGTCCTGGCAAACGTTGCCACCACAGACCCGGCTGTTAATTCAAATCTGCAGAACATAAATAAATTAGTTTCAGATTTCCTTATACATATGTATTTACCTAGACACTATTTCACTTATTTTTTCTCTGTATGTTTTTTTCTATTCATCATCTTACTGTTACCAGGTAGTAACCCAGTGTTTCTGTTGTGCTTTTCTGTATAATGCTTGCAACTCTTTGGTAACTAGGTCCACCTTTTTTGCAGAATTCACCAACACTGTCTATTTGTTGGTCTTTCTGTTAGTGTTCGCCATTTTCTACCATAGAAAGTCTCATATACAGTTTGGTCTGACTGCATTCATACCAGATGGTCAAACCATTTCATTCTCTGTATTTCCATGCAATTAATTCAGGCAGAGATTATTGCCAGTGCTTTTCCTAGTCCACAGGCATCTCTGATGTTTAAAGTCAGTATTTCCAATTACCCATAAACACTAATAATTAATTATTAATCAAGGACATGCTCTTTTTTGTTCAACATTTCCATCTCCTGAGGTTTACTGCTGCAGATGTCCCCTGCTTCCAGTCATCTCTGTAACTGGGGTTCTCGTCCTCTTTTTTGTTCAACATTTTCATCTCCTGAGGTTCACTGCTGCAGATGTCCCCTGCTTCCAGTCATCTCTGTAACTGGGGTTCTCGTCCTCTTTTTTGTTCAACATTTCCATCTCCTGAGGTTCACTGCTGCAGATGTCACCTGCTTCCAGTCATCTCTGTAACTGGGGTTCTCATCCTCTTTTTTGTTCAACATTTTCATCTCCTGAGGTTTACTGCTGCAGATGTCACCTGCATCCAGTCATCTCTGTAACTGGGGTTCTCGTCCTCTTTTTTGTTCAACATTTCCATCTCCTGAGGTTCACTGCTGCAGATGTCACCTGCTTCCAGTCATCTCTGTAACTGGGGTTCTCGTCCTCTTTTTTGTTCAACATTTCCATCTCCTGAGGTTCACTGCTGCAGATGTCACCTGCTTCCAGTCATCTCTGTAACTGGGGTTCTCGTCCTCTTTTTTGTTCAACATTTCCATCTCCTGAGGTTTACTGCTGCAGATGTCACCTGCTTCCAGTCATCTCTGTAACTGGGGTTCTCGTCCCAGTTGGCATCTGTATGTTTGCACATCTGCCTGTTTATTTTCTCTTCGCGATCTTCTTTGTCTGCCTTGTGCTCTATACACTATAAAGCACTATCTCTTGAATGTGAGAAATATGCTCATAAGAAAATTTAACTGACTACATGAATCTCTAAATTAACTATAACCTTTCATGGGAAGGTGAAGGAATTTATTACTAGAATAATCAACATATTCAAGAGTAAAAAATGCTCCATTCACTTTTGAAGATAACTCTTAAAGATAAAATCAACGTGGATAAAACAAAAAGGATTATACTGAGTGTATAACAAATCAAAATTTTATGAAAAATGTAGGTAAGATTATCTAAATATTCATATTAAAATTGTTATCCTAATCGCAGCCTAAAAGACTTAAATAAAGCAATGAATATTTAAATAATAATAATACAATATAAACCTGAGGACTGAACAGGATTTTTAAATTACTAATACTACCTATTAGATCATTTGCCAGTTATCTGAAGTGATTTAAAGAGATTATGATTATGAATTTCGCTGTTGCTTCTCATTCTCTATTCAGTAATCACCACTCTTTATATCTGTGATGGGTAAAAATGAAGATCCATCTTTTGAGACATCTGCAATAAAGCTTTGATTTCATCCCTGATTGTCCTCCTGAATCACTCCGTCAAGTTGAGTTGAGTTGATTCAAGAACCGACATCACAGCCCTCAGGGCATTCCCATAAGTGCTCTGTCCCCATCATCAGTAGCCAGTGCAGAGTTCTGATGCTAATGGTGCCAGTAGCGTTTTGATTAAATGTCCATCTTTAAATATCCAGAAACTATGAGTTGTTAACCTTTTGGCTCGGTACTATGGATATCGCAACTCTTTGGCCTTGATTCCATAATAGGTACCGTGAATCTTGGAGAAATGTGGCTTTTCTGCCTACCCCCGTGAGTGAACTCAGACCACAATGCTTCCTCATTTTGTTGAGCTTTTTATTCTAATTTCTCTGGAATTCCTGTTTATTAGTAGTAGCTTGACTGCAGTCACCCCCACATTTTCACCTATCTGAAAAATGTATGTTATTAACACCCCCCCCCCCCTCCCCAAGGCTCTAATGCTAATGACGCTCTGCTTCTTAACATTGGACTTGCTTCATTAACTGTTGCCTCCATTACAACAACATTATACATAGCACCGGCTGACAGTCGTTAATTAAATATCAGGACGAGAATCGACTTTGTCTCACAATTACTGTATTTTCCTAAAGCTGTAGTGGGTGGTATGTAAGCAGATTTCCCAAAATTAAGACGCCCGACTGTAGTCTTAAACAAACATTTTCCCTGGTATTACCTTTTCTTCACCATGGTTGTTATCGCGCGTTTCGTTTCTTGTGAAAACAGTTCGTGCTTGTTTTGTTTTTTCTTCAAATGCATAGTTTAAAAAATGCATTTATATGATATAAGCGAAACAATTAAAGGTTTCACTGCACGAAATATTTGCTTTAACAGAAGTGTGCAGTGTACGCCGAAATAAGAACAGTATAGGTAGAGACCGAGTTTCTTACAGGCAGACTGTGATGAGAGCGACGTTCTGCAAAGGACCTGCTACATGATGATGATAACGCATTCGTAACGCATTGGTACTTTGACAGTTCCTGGGGTCCTTGCTAGCACAGGGACCTATGTATCTGTTATTTACATTTTTATACCTGCTCCCCATTATAGAGGAAAAAATAATACACCTATTGCTCTTTAACTAGCATAGGGAGTTGAGTCAAAATGTATGTATTGAGATATAACTTTTAAACCATAACAGCCGGATAGAGGTTGAAAAACAGAGTCCAGTGGTACGTCTATGAAGTCTGTATGTCAATTCTAAGCGGAGATAGCCATTTTTCAGTGACAGAAAATGTTCCCAAAAATTATAATGGAAAATAAAAGAAACCAGACGGCGGCATGTTCCCAAGTGAAAATTTGACCTAAAGTGGCAAAATTTATAGGCTTTAATGACTATAACTCTTATATATATAATAATAATTACTGAACCCCTTCATCATCATCATCATGTAGCAGGTCCTTTGCAGAACGTCGCTCTCATCACAGTCTGCCTGTAAGAAACTCGGTCTCTTGCCAGTTCTCCCGCCTCATAAACTTTCACACTCAAGGAGTCACTTATATCCTGTGCCCATCTTCGTTACGGTCGGCCTCTGCCCCTCCTTCCTAGTATCATGCCTTCTGCTATAACTTTTTTCCAATCCGTCGTGGCGCTTGATATGACCAAAATATTTCAGCTTTTGAGAAAAGATGCTGTTTATTAGCCAATCTTTCTTGATGTTCAGATCTTTTAAGATGTCAATATTTCTCATCTTCTTTATCCAAGATATTCTGAGAATCTTTCTATAGCATTTTAGCTCAAAAGCCCCTATTCTCTTTCTTAAGGACTGAGAGATAGTCCACAACTCACATCTGTATGTAGCCACAGGGAAGATGCATGCTCTCAAAATTCTAATTTTTATCTCCTTGCTGGTGCTTAACCATAGACTTTTAAGGCTATTCAATCTTTGGCCATCCTCCTTTTAATTTCTGTCAAACAGTCTCCATTGTTGTTTATCGTAGAGCCTAGATATTCGAAGTTTGTGACATTTTCAATTTCTTCATCATTTATTGTTATTTCCGGGTGACAGCCAGTTTTGTCTGTGGACATTATTTTCGTTTTCTTTAAATTCAAGAACAGATTTTGATCTTCACTGTGCTTTTGGGCGGGCAATATTAAATTTTCTGCTCCCTTTACGCTGTTCGAAAGGAGGACTGTGTCATCTGCGTAGCGGAGTTCCGGAATAGGGTTGCCACCAATTTTGAGCGGATCATAACTGTCACAAGTCTGGTCATTTTTGACATTTCTCATTATATTTTCTGCGTATATATTGAATAGGTATGGTGAGAGAATGCACATCTGCCTCACCCCCTTTTGCACCTCGAACCAATCAGATGTTTCACCAGCTGCTCTGATGGCTGCTTGTTGTTCATGATAGAGATTTTCAATTAATTGCACTAAATGCGCTGGAAACTCCATACTTTTCATAACAGTCCACAGTTGGTGGTGCTGGACACAATCAAATGCCTTGCTATAATCAATAAAACAAACATGAAGATCTACACTGTATTCTCTGCATTTTTCAAAAATTATTCTCATATTAAATATGTGATCCATAGTTCCTCTACCCTGTCTGAAACCCGCTTGTGCTTCATCTAGTTCATATTGTAATTTCCTTTCAATCCTTTTCATGATAATTCGTAAGAGGATTTTGCTAGCATGACTTATTAATGCGATGGTACGGTAGTTGGAGCATAGTTTTGGATTTCCTTTCTTTGGGAGAGGGATATAGACTGTTCTTTTCCAAGCTTTAGGCCAAATGCCACTGTTCCAGATCTTCGAGCACAGTGCATGGTAGATTCGGACGTTGGCCTCTCCTCCTGCTTGAATTAGTTCTGCTGGTATTTCGTCGCAACCTGGTGACTTTCCCTTCTTCAGGCTGTGAACTGCTGATCGTACCTCATCCATTGAAGGCTCTGGTTCTTTTTCACAACTTTCACGAGTTGTTTTTGAATTACCTGTCACATCCTCAGGCATTTCTCTACAGTATTCTTTCCATCTTTCTAATATGTCTTTGGTTTCCGTTAATGTGTTACCGTTTTTATCACTTATTACATGAAAAGAAGGCTGAATTCGTATTTCAATGTTTTAATTTCTTTAAACATGTCTCTGTGAATCCCTGAACCCCTTACGAACCATATATCACTGCATTAGGAGCAGCAAAGCTCTAACTTAAGACGTTGGCATTTTAAAAATATGATGTGATGCAAACCTATTTAACATATAAAATGACAGTCAATTAATCAGTATTAATTAGAACAAGTTCAAGAATTCAAGTACTTAGGATGCATAT